CCATCAAAAGTAAAAAAACAAAATACAAGGTGTATTAAACAAGGTGGTGTTGGGGCGACAGCTGAGTTTTTCGCCGTGGAGGCCATTACGTCAAAATGATGTGTTTGTTGTAACTCATACCAATGACAGTATGGACATCAACGTATAATTTGTTAGTGTAATTTATTACTTATATACAGCCAACACCACCTTGTTAAATACGCCTTGACAAAATACATGTAAACTTCGGAGCGAATGAGATTTGACATAATTCGCCAGTAACACATGAACGAAAGACACAAGATCCCGCCTTCCCGAAAGAAAGAAAAAAGTTATTTTCTAGCTGTTGAAATCTCGACGCCATCTTTGTTGTAAGAAGTAAACAACGAAGAGAGCAAAAAAAAAACCGCGTAATTGTTAAACGCATGAATAATAATTTTTATTATGCAAATTCTTCTATAAATCATGTCGTTGTGTTAAATTATTCTTTACCTTATGTGTGCACACGTTGTCACAAGCGAAAATTAAGAAAATTGCAGTAAAAAGCCACCACCAAATTGTAAACAACGAACAAATGTAAACAAACGGCTAATGTCAAAGTCGCCCAACTTTTTTCCTAAATGCGATTATAACGGGCTACTAAGAAGAAGGCGTGATCTTGTATTTTTGGTTCATGCCAGTAACACCACCTTGTATAAATTCGCCTTGATACATGTTGTTGTGATCTAAATTCTCCTTGAACACCACCTTGTATAAATTCGCCTTAATACATGTCAAGGCGAATTTATACAAGGCGCTTATTACCGCCCTATTCCCACACGGCTGACAAAACTCAGTGGCCGTACTACTGCGCCTAATACTATGCCGCAAATTTATTTTAAGCTGTCGTATGACAATTGTCAGTTTTATTGTTATGACCTACTGAGTAAGTGACAACGGCGAAACAATGTTTATATTATGTTTTAGGCGCAGTAATTGTGACAATAATCATATGATGAATTTTGTCAGTGTTGTGGGAATAGGGCGGTAATCTCCGGTACTTATTAATAGCCCTGTTCGCGTACGCACTATCCAGTAAATCCAGTACTAATTTTTTATTTTTATTTTTATTTTATTTTATTTTATTTATTTATGTCTAAAGTTGTAAGTGGTACAGACATTATGAAAAATTACAAGCTATGTAGTTAAATTTTTGGTACAATTTGAAGCGTTAAATGAACTAAGAGTAAATACAATAAAGGCTAATAAAACGACTGATGTGAATAGCGTGATACGGTCTCCAAATAAAGCGGCGTATTCCAGTTTAGACCGTACAAAGGCAGTGAACAAAGTCTTAAGTGTGTACGGGTCAGAAAATTGCGAAGAATGTCGTCTAACAAAAGCTAGCATTGCGAGAGAGTTTGAGATGGTATAATTTATATGCGCATTAAAATTAAACTTGGAATCAAAAAACACTCCCAAGTCTTTAAACACATCAACTGATTTGAGAACGGAATTAGCTAAATGATAAGAAGTGGACAGAGGTTTAGGTAGTTTAGAGAACGTGGCTTTGTGGCATTTATTGATGTTAAGGAAGAGATGATTCTTGGAGCACCAATTATAGAGGTTGTTGAGTTCAGATTGAAGACTGACCGAGTCGCTATGACATCTAACCTCAGAGTATACTTTCAGGTCGTCCGCGTAAAGAAGAAAACGAGCTGAAGAGAAACACGACGATACATCATTGATAAAAAGAATGAAAAACAATGGGCCCAAGATACTACCCTGAGGAACTCCAGAGGTTGCAATAAATGGTTTAGATGAGAGACCATCTATAACAACACTAGAACTCCTATTTTCCAAATACGACTTGATCCATTTCAAAAAAACAGAATGGAAACCAAAATTGGCTAGTTTAACAACCAATATTTTGTGGGAAATTTTATCGAAGGCTTTGGAGAAATCGGTGTAAATCACATCAACCTGATAGCCACGTCGGAAAGTCGCAAAGCAATCCTCTGTAAAAACTGAGAGATTAGTTAACGTGGATCTGGCCGCCACGAACCCATGTTGGTTAGGACTAATCAAATGCTTCACAATGAAATGCAGCTTATTGTTTATAATGCATTCGAATAGTTTTGAGACCGACGATAGCTTTGAAATTGGCCTATAATTCGTAATATCGCTTTTACTGCCACTTTTAAACACTGGGGTTATAGTAGTACGTTTCCAATCATTTATGAAGGTACCTGTAGATAGAGACCTATTATATATTAAAGTGAGCGGTGTCGCTAAAGATTTTACTGGTTTTTTACTGGATGTCGTTTTCGTACGTAAAAACTTGTAAGAAACTAGTAGAAGTGGGGAAATTGAGAGAGCAAAAATGACAGCTGAACTTGCAAGTTTTACTAGATTTTTACTGGATAAATTTTTATTAGCAACTATTTGCTAGTAAGTAAAACAGCTGATGGCATGATGCTTAATGTAATTCACATTACCAAAATAATTGTTTGTGGTGCTTTTAGAGTTGCAATTGACAAAATAAACCTATTTAAATATATAATAAGATGGAAAATACTAGTTTTCTAAGAAAATTGCATCGGAAAATAACAAATTATTCAGCTGTTCATAAAACTAGCAGCTTCTTGCTTGTTTTGCGTTTTCGTACTTTCTTGCATATTTCACTCATTGGGAGTAAATATTGGCTTAAGGCTCTGTTATGCATACTTGGCATTGCATGCACTGCTATACCATTTTTACGTAGAAATCAAAAACCAACAGACTTTTACGTATGTAATACTGTGCGTTGGCTAACCGCTTACGCGCGAAGTTCATTTAACAGATTCCTGATGTGACAACTTTTAAGCAATGCCAAGTGTGCATAACGGAGCCTTTACTCTGGATATTTTTTGCTTGAGAATACGAAAACAACAACAACTAATGTCAAAATCAAGCATGAACCAAAAATACAAGATCACGCCTTCTTGTTAGTAGCCCGTTATAATCGCATTTAGGAAAAAAGTTGGGCGACTTTGACATTAGCCGTTTGTTTACATTTGTTCGTTGTTTACAATTTGGTGGTGGCTTTTTACTTCAATTTTCTTAATTTCCGCTTGTGACAACGTGTGTACACATAAGGTAAAGAATAATTTAACACAGCGACATGATTTATAGAAGAATTTGCATAATAAAAATGATTATTCATGCGTTCAACAATTACGCGTTTTTTTTTTGTTCTCTTCGTTGTTTACCAGGGACGTGAACCGGTTTTGAACCGAACCGGTTTTGAACCGGAAAACCGCTTTTTTTATTAATTAACTGAACCATTAACCGAACCGAAATTTTCCACAAATGTTTGATCCGAACCGAAAACCGAACCACTTTCCATAAAGGTTTAAAGGTTCGTTTCAACCAAGTTTTAATAGATAAATGTACCAACTTTTTTCCTTTTTGTTAAACATTGTAATACCTACCCTGTGACAGAAAGACAGAAGAAATACGTTTGTGATAAAATTTTGGGAAACGGGCGTGCCACCGCCCACTTATGATCACATATGTGTATCTCGGTAACCGGTCTACCAATTTATACCAAACTCGGTATGGCTATTGTGCTTGCCAAATAAAAGCAAAACGTTCAAAATTATTGAAATCAGACTGAAATTGAGGCCGCTTTTTATATAACGGTAAATTTCAGAAATGCGATGCTTCAATATTTCGAAATTTAAGGACGCTTAATTACTCAAAATTTATACACTCCGCTTACCATGTTGCGGTGGCTCTCGGAAAGGTGAAAATCATATATTTAATACTTGCGCCGGGTGTTTAATGTTCGGCTCCGCCCGAACTTAGACTTTATTACTTGTTTGTTTTTCGAACGGTTGAACCGAACCGAAACCCCGGTTCAAAGACCAAAAAACCGTTTTGAGGAACCAATCCAAAAGTGCAAAAACGGTTCGAACCGCTGAACCGAACCGACAAAATTTTTCATCCGGTTCACGTCTCTGTTGTTTACTTCTTACAAAAAAGATGGCGTCGAGATTTCAACAGCAAGAAAATAACTTTTTTCTTTCTTTCGGGAAGGCGTGATCTTGTGTCTTTCGTTCATGAAAATCAAGGCGAATTTATACTACTGAATGTCAAAATGATGTGTTTGTTGTAAACAAAGCGAATTCATATTACACAAACACCCTATTTTGACATTAAAAATTCGCCTTGATACATGTGGTTGTGGTTGTTGTATTCTTGGTACCTTGTATAAATTCGCCTTGCAATGGACTATCNTTTTGTTAAACATTGTAATACCTACCCTGTGACAGAAAGACAGAAGAAATACGTTTGTGATAAAATTTTGGGAAACGGGCGTGCCACCGCCCACTTATGATCACATATGTGTATCTCGGTAACCGGTCTACCAATTTATACCAAATTCGGTATGGCTATTGTGCTTGCCAAATAAAAGCAAAACGTTCAAAATTATTGAAATCAGACTGAAATTGAGGCCGCTTTTTATATAACGGTAAATTTCAGAAATGCGATGCTTCAATATTTCGAAATTTAAGGACGCTTAATTACTCAAAATTTATACACTCCGCTTACCATGTTGCGGTGGCTCTCGGAAAGGTGAAAATCATATATTTAATACTTGCGCCGGGTGTTTAATGTTCGGCTCCGCCCGAACTTAGACTTTATTACTTGTTTGTTTTTCGAACGGTTGAACCGAACCGAAACCCCGGTTCAAAGACCAAAAAACCGTTTTGAGGAACCAATCCAAAAGTGCAAAAACGGTTCGAACCGCTGAACCGAACCGACAAAATTTTTCATCCGGTTCACGTCTCTGTTGTTTACTTCTTACAAAAAAGATGGCGTCGAGATTTCAACAGCAAGAAAATAACTTTTTTCTTTCTTTCGGGAAGGCGTGATCTTGTGTCTTTCGTTCATGAAAATCAAGGCGAATTTATACTACTGAATGTCAAAATGATGTGTTTGTTGTAAACAAAGCGAATTCATATTACACAAACACCCTATTTTGACATTAAAAATTCGCCTTGATACATGTGGTTGTGGTTGTTGTATTCTTGGTACCTTGTATAAATTCGCCTTGCAATGGACTATCAATTCAGAAATATACAAAAGTGTAGAATATAGGGCCAACTTTTATTATTTTACAAAAAGGCTAAGCCGAATATCTTTTGAAGTATTGGGGAAGCGCAAGCTCGCGGTAATTGTTAAAGCAATGAAGAAATTGGAAGATATAAAAAAAGAGTTTCCACTGCATTGGCTTGTATGGAGCAACAGCGTCGATGAGCTGAAATGGGCGTTAAAAACGGACACGGTGAGGAAACAAATGGTGATGATGATTTCGGGTACAGATAAAAGGGATATACCATATATTTAATGAATGAGGCAGTGGACAGAAGTTTCGATACGATAGCAAAGATGAGTTCGAAAATATGTTTATTATATCAAACTGGAGAAGGTTCCTATTGGTGAAAAATAGTGAAATTAATCACTTTCATGTGCAATTTTGCAAGAATATGCTAATTCAATTAAGCGCGTTAAGCAGGCTTCGCAAACGCTAATTTATAAGTCGATCTACATAGATGCTTAATCCTAAGCTGTACTAAGTACTGTTGGTGCCCAACCAGACGTTATATTTGTGCTAATCTCAATATTCGGAGTACAAAATGACTCATTGGAATCAAATAGCCTTCACTCTTTATATGAAACGCTTTGTTGCAATAATGTTTTTTTTTGCTTTGTGCACTGAAGCAATGACTAAAGGGAGCCAATAGTCCCAACAAGTCAGGTTGTTCCTCAAAGTATGGTTTATTCAATAAGATGTGTCCAATGTTGCTCCGCAGCTATACAAAGGCAGTACCGCTGTAATAGCATTTGCTTGTATGATTTCTAATTTTCGTCAGACATTTTCAATGTACACAATGTAATCATGACGGGGACTTTAGACGTCCACATACTGCGAGGTTATTCCTCCAATTAAATAATTATTCCTTATTCGTCAGTTATAGTTATTATGGTTAAAATTTCACTCGGGGGAACTTCAGATCGCACCTTTAATAATATAACGATGTAATTCAAAATTTCAATTTAGTGGTAAAACGCAATCGAAAGTTTTATCAATTCATACAGTTGGTATAGAAAAAGAAAGATAAGACACATATCTTCGCCATGTTTGGAAAGTTTGGTTTCGACTGAACATGTTCTACTTATCAAGTTTGTTAATTGCATACTTAATGAAATCTTTAAAAACGTAAATTTTGAATTACATCTCAATATTATTAATGGTGCGATATGTACATATACATATATAGTATTTCATTAAAATTAAATTTTCTTATAATTTAAAGATTAAATACATATGTACACATGCGGTCGAAATCCAAAAGTGTGCCAAAATTCGAAGCCTTAAAGAAATTATTCGCAATATCGTACCTGGGGGTTTTTCGGGGACGCTAATTACGAATCCCCTATCGGAATTGCAAAATTCAAAATGGCGGATCCAGTATGGCGTCTGGTAAATTTCGAGTTTTTAATTAGATTTCATAGAGTGCAGTTTTATAGCCCACTAAATTTTAGTGTAAAGTACAAGTTTGAAGTGGCTAGGACTTAAGAAACACATTGAAAACGACAAGCTAAGGACCACAGCTTACAATCGACATCATGAATCAGTATGATTTTGACATAAAAGAAGAGGAAGAACCTTATCTGTCGCTGGAAAAATAGAAATAGATCTAATCTGCCTACGGTCGCGTAGCCCGGTCGTCGCCAAAATAATTATCTACATAAGAGTACAGGTTAAAATAATTTGGCAGCTGTGGTCCGTAGCTCGTGGCTTTCATTATGTTTGGACTATTGTCGTTAATTTGTGAAATTTTTTTGTTGAGATTGTCAGTAATTTTCTTCCATACGAAGTATGTTCGATGATATGAAGAAAATAAGCAACGCCTTCAGCAAAAAAAAAACTTCCAAAAATCAACCATAATCCCAGCTACTTTAAACTTGCACTTTATTGTGCTTAAATTAAATGGACCACAAAACGGCATACCTAAAATCTTTCTATGAAATCTAATTAAAAAGATCGAATGTTTTACATACAGGTGAAACACATATATATAAGCGTGTTAAAAGAGTACATTAAAATTTCAGAGGAAGATTTGGGCAGAAGAATTTTATTTTATTCGGTAGCTTATTAGCTTTTCTAAGCATGATTCAATTACACTATGCGACAGTCAAAATCGGGATGGGATGAAACCAACGGGAAATGTTATATCGGTCAAAAACAAGTTATACGTGGCCCGGCGTTTCGCTGGGTCACGTCTAGGAATCGAGATATATCGATTTGAAGTTAGTAACTATCATATAGGGGAAATTGTCACCTTTGGTATGAGATACCTTCACTTAATTGTGAATAAAAGCGAAACGCGTCCATCGATTTTCATGATCTATGTCTAATTTTGCTTAAAGGTTATGTGACTTTGCGTGAAAATAATCCGACGCCTTTTTTTCCGTTTTGGATTTTTTAAGAATTTGAAAAAAAAAATTTAATATTTTAGGCAAAAAATATATTTTTTCTTCATACATTTATTTTTACCGGCAAAACTGTTGATTATATAGAAAAACGTTATATGAACAGATTAAAGGAATTGTAATTTTTAATTTTTTTTAATTTGTTTGAGCAAAATCGGACTAGTGGTTCTCGAGTTATGTCAAAAAAAAGACCACCAAAGGTGACAATCATTCGCAGCATAGCAGCCGAGGGTGGAGGTTACAACTCATCTTTAGTGGAACGTCGACTTCAGCAGCATTTATAAGTGTTAAGTTTTCTTTTATCACTGTGCAGTAATTGTGTTTTTATAAAATATATAGAACTTTTTGGGACAACTCTATAATTTAGAGGACAATTTAGCGTGGCATCAAGTTTGGCATATTTCTGTGGGTAAGTTTCTCAGTGCCGTGTATACATATATAAGTGAGCAAGAAGTTTTCAAAGCAGCATGGCCGACGCTTCGGCGTCAGAGGCTGTAGATATTAATGAGTCTGACTCTATGGCCTCGAATTGGTTCGAAGTCAGTAGAAATCAGAAAAAATTAAACAGAAAAAGAATAATTAAAGGTGTAATATGGAGAAAAAAGACTCCGAGACGGACGAAGACAGTGCAAAATTAGGTACAGTTAGAAAGAATAATAAAAAGACAAAGACGGACGAAAATAACGGAATGCAAATCCCGCTACAAGGTATGATTGTACCAAAAGGCACGTACACCAGCATGATGCAATAATACAAGGTGTTATCCAAGGCGTATTTAACAAGGTGGTGTTGGCCGTATATAAGTAAAAAATTACACTAACAAATTATACGCTGATGTCCATACTGTCATTGGTATGAGTTACAACAAACACATCATTTTGACGTAATGGCCTCCACGGCGAAAAACTCAGCTGTCGCCCCAACACCACCTTGTTTAATACACCTTGGTGTTATCAGTTGGCAACTTCTCGCTCTAATTCCGCCATATTGACTACCTTACGTGAAACAGTGTTACTTCTTNTTTTGAAACGTACGAATTAGCAAACAAGTGCCTTGCAAACCAATATTTGACTAAAAATGAAATGAAGCCATTCATTCCAAGAAATTTTGTTGAAAACATAGGGGTTGTTAGAAATGTGCCGATGGGCTTTTCTGATCAAGAAATTCTAAGCAACATCATATCAGACATAAAAGTGACATCAGTAACTAGATTAACTAGACGGGACCCAAATGATAGAGAAAATTTTCTGCCAACATTTTCGGTCAAAATTGGTTTTCAAGGACATGAGCTTCCGGAAACAATAAACCTATTTTATGTTAAGCTTAAAGTGCAGCACTATATTCCGAGGGTAAGACAGTGTTTCAACTGCGGAAGGCTTGGCCATACCTGGTTAACCTGCAAAGCCAAAAACCGATGCATTGTTTGTGGAAAAGAGGAAGGATGTAATAGCAACTGTAAACCCAATACCAATAATTGCATTCTATGCGGGAATGAAGGTCACAACTCAGTGAACAAAAAGGCATGTGAAGTGTGGCAGAAAGAAGAAAAAGTGTTGGAAATAATGACCATAAAAAAATCTCTAAAAAGGAGGCCTTTGACATGTACAGTTTAGAAAATAGAGCAAATCGTTTTTCGGTGTTAAATTTTGAGTAAAACTTTCCGGCCACTCTTTCCAATCACAATCAAGTCATAAACAATGATCAGGTAGTTAACCAAAAATTGACAAGAAAGAAGTATAGCCAAGTAACGCAGTACAAACCCGCAAACATGCACACCGAAAAAGAAAAGACACAACTAAACAGCCTGTCTTAAGTGCACAGTGGGACAGAGTGACAGAAATAGAGAAACTGGTTAGCTTACTCATTAAAAAGTTTGAAATAGATCAAAACGAACCCCTAGTACAGTTGCTAGAGAAAATTTGTAAAGTTAGAGTTAGCGACAGAATTACACCAACTCCCACAAATGAACACGAAAATCCTACAATATAATATACAAAGCCTTAAGGCAAATAAGAGCTATTTAGACCACTTTAATAATAGGCACGACATAGACATTATATGCCTTCAGGAAATATTTTCACACGACGAATCAACAACAAATCACAATCTTATAGGTTTTAATCTACTAAGAAAGACTAGGCCGGATGGTTATGGAGGGGTAGCTATCGGCTTCAAAAAAGGACTCAAATTCACGAAAATTAAGTATAAGAGCAATATGGATGTATTAATAGCAAAGACTACTAGCCTAAACTCCAACATAACCATATGTAACGCATACTTACCGCCTAGCCTAAGATTCAATGATTTCTCGACAGAAATAAACCGCTTGTTAATATTTCTGAGCAATTTTAGAAATGTAATCCTACTAGGGGATTTTAATGCTAGATGTATTAAGTATGGCTATCAAATAAACACACCTAAAGGCGTTTTGCTAAGCTCCGAGACTGAAAACGCAAATTTTCTATGTCTAAACGATGGCACCAAAACGCACTTGTGTAATGAAAGAAATGCGGGATCTGTACTGGATCTTACCTTCACCAACTTTAATAAAGAGAAATTAGAATGACAGTGTTCACAAATCAGCATAGGAGGCAGTAGGCATTTCCCGGTTCTGACCACACTTAAAGATATTCACAAACTCCCAAATTTGTTTACCCCTAAAAGTAGCTTTATTAATAAAGTGAAAAGAATCACGTTTACTAACCTAAATCAAATGCAAAAAGATGTTAAAGAGGCCAGGGAAAGCGTAAGCATAGATTTAAACATAAAAAGATGGCAGCCCAAGGC